TAACAATGCCTCCCACGAATCCAACTGGAGGCCCAGAGCCCATAACAGTACCTCATGCAGGCCTGTTTCACGAATCTGTGCTGTGAAGGCCCAATGTCAGTGGTGGAATCTAGGAGTTCTGTGCCAGCGGGATGAAGGATCTGTGCTAGCAGGCTGAGGGATCTAAACTGGAGCCAGGAAGCGATACTCAGAAGAACCAGAGCTCCCCCAAAAGGTACCACGGCCATCCTCAGGAACAGTGAGGTACCCTTCTCGTCCGATGATCAAGATGGCCGAGTTCCCATCAGGAAAGCCAACGCAGCAAGCTTCTCCAGGACATTGGCACTGCACTGCCTTCCCCTCTGGAGCCAGAAAGTGATGGTCAGAGTGAGGACCAGAGCTCCCCGAAAATGAACCAAAGCCATTCTCAATGTCCAGCTGTGGGACTCGGTGGTCTTTCAGTGGTCCCCAGGAGAACATGGTGAGAAGATTTGGAAAATAAAGAAAAGAGAAGATAGCCAGGGTCAGGTGGAGTTACCTCTTGCCTGATGAGCAAGAGGACTGCCCCAAAACAGTAGAGTGTTTATTTGTACCCTGGAGAGGTTGGTTGATTTTTGTCTCGCTGCCCAGCAACCAGTTAACAAGTTACAATGGCATGTTTACTCCAAGGGGCTTGTTTACTCTGAGGAGCTCCCTTCTTCTCAGGCTGGCTTCATCCTGCACGTGTAATTATTTTTCAGCTTAAGCAGCTCCCAACATCTCCCCCTTTTCTGTTTAGATGCAGAAGTGATGGGTGTTCAGTTGAAGCTGGAAAAGCTATGCTTGAAGAATATAGTGCAAAGTTCATAGCAGTGGTCAGTTATCAGTCTAGCTGGCAACTGTCAGAAGTTTTTGGTGACTTGAACCTTTTACGGCTAACCTACAACCTATTACTGTGGCATTGCTTCTTTAGCTCTGGTGGTTACACTTTTCTGTTGAATGTTTAAGACCAAGTTAAGTGAGATCTGTGTAAATAAAAATTTCACCTTTTGTTATCTATCAAGGTTAATTAAGTCTCCTCAGGAATCACCATGGGACCAAGTACAGCATCTCTTGATCTTCTGTCAGTGTCTGCCATTTGGATGAGTCACGGCCACTGCTTGACTAAGTTGTTTTCTGTGAAAGCTTGAGAGGTTTTTTTTCTCTCCAGGTGACTCTCCTTAGGTACACTTTCCTCTGTGGTCCCGTAATTTCATTGATCAGGGACTCAATCGAGTTATAGGATGTCACAGCAGTTCTCTTATATCCTGAGTCTTCACTGACCTCAGAATGCATGGCCAAAATATTGGCTATCATCTTAGCCCAATTTATCTAATTTTTGGTCTCCAAATCTCAGTTGTTAAACATCCAGCAGAGAAGATTAATGATATAGCATTGCAAGGGAGGCAGTACTCTTACTATTACAGTCTGATCTGAATAACAAACACCGTAGAACATACAAATGGAACCATTTTTTTTAACAACCATGGAAATCCTAATACTTAAATCCTAATAGAATGTTAACAAACAACCATTGCATATTTTTACACAGAGATTAGAAATCAAAACCATACATAACATGACCCTTTTAACCAATTATCTCTATCTAATACATAAGAAGCTTTTATCTAATTTGTTGTCCTTTAATGGGATATACATCACAAGTTTTTGTTAAAGCAGAGGTCGGAATCTGAAAGTCTTATCACAATAAACAATCTTTGTTTTACATTTTAGAAGACGTATAGATCCAGAATCATGAATACATTAAATACACCATGAGACTAACGCTAATGAATTACCATACACATGTGAAAACCTTTGTTAAAGATTAGTTTTGTACCAAGAGCATCTTTTATGAGAAAACCTTGTTGTAATTTTTACTGAAAAACTTTCTTTTGACCAAATGACCCAATTATTTGGGTGTCTCCCAAGAGACTATAGAGATCATTGGGGACTCCTTATTAATGAAAAAAGGTGGCCACTCCTCTATTCACCAACTGGAATCCTACCCAAATAACTTCTCCTCATCTTAAGGACTGTGGTTAAATATCTTAATTTTGATGTCATTTAAACGAGCTGGTAACTCAGGTGAAATGCATGCTTTTAAATCTATAACCCAATCGTATTCTGAACAAACGGTAAAAGAAAAATTATTGAGCTCAAAATAAAGGAGAGCAGCTGTTCACAGAATGACAGACAAACATGCAAACCAGTACATAGAACAAACAAACATCTTTAAAAACTCATAGCGCACTCGAATACATTTTTGACCAAATTGAATTATAGTTAACTCTATTCTAATTTTGGAAATGTATAATTTAAATAGACTAGTCAGATTTTGTTGTCAGTTAGCAAAGATCTCTTAGAAAATCCCTGGAATGAATAGAATCTTCTATCTGTAGTGAATATATATACTTTGTATTTTATCCCCCTAAGAATACTGGTAACTTTCAGCTCTATATCCTTATATACTTTATTTCCTATTTAGATCTTAGGTTTTCATTTATGTCAGTTTCTTCAATAGTCCCCAGATTGAATTTAGCCTCATTGTTGTCTATCAGCTGTGACACAGTCTCTGAGGCATCACTGTCACAGGACTGTACATCAGCTTCTTGAAAGGTAGAACCAACTTCTTCTCCAGATCTGGGGTCCTGATATAGCCAGACAGCATGCTCTGGTACCCAAACAGGTCGCTCAGCATTCTCTTGAAAAAACACAAACATACCCTCTAACCCAGGTAAGCAGTGGACTGGGTCCCTTCCATTGTCCAGGATGGACATCTCTCCAAAGGACCCTTCCTAACCCTTTTTCTTTTACCTGATGGAATTGTCTTTCTGCTGTTGTACTTCCATTTTTTCTAGAATTTAGAAAGTTAATAGTATGTATAGCCAAGTGAAATCTATCATGAGGTAAGAATTTTGTAGGGAAAGATTCCCCCTTTTGTATTTGTAATGGAATTTTGATCCTATGGTGAGCATGTTCAACAATTTCTTGATATTAGGGATTATAAGGAATTCCTGTGATAAGGGAAATATGATAAGTTTTACAAAACATTTGGAAAGCAGCCTTTGTAAATGCTGGGCCATCGTCAGTCTTAAGTGTCCGTGGGCAACCAAGGGCACTAAAGGCATCCAAGCAATGAGCAATGACATGTTTAGCCACTTCACCAGTGGGAGCAGAAGCAAAACTAAACCCTGAGGAGGTGTCCACTGAAACGTGGACCCAGCGTAAAGAACCAAATTCCGGAATGTGAGTGACATCCATCTGCCAAAGGTGAGTGGGATTGACTCCCATGAAAGGTGAGGGAGGGTGTATTATACATGAACAGTATTGTTTAACAATTTCTTGGGCCTGTTCCGGGGTCAAATGGAACTAGTTGCATAAGGCAGAAGCATTTTGACGAAAGGTAGCATGAGAAGCAGAAGCCTGCTGAATGGCCTCTGAGGAAGTGACAGTAACAGCACTCAGCAACCTGTCAATAGCAGTGTTCCCCTCAGTGAGTGGTCCTGGCAACTGGGAATGAGAACGTATATGATCAACAAATCAGAGAATGTGATATGACCGTATGACAAATTGAAGAGTATGAAGTAAATGAAAAAGATCTTCCTGGCCAGTGTGTATGATGGCGGTGTCTGTGTGGCACATCACACTGCAGACATAAGCGCTGTTGGAAAAGAGGTTAATTGGAGTGGATGAGTGATTCTGCAAGGCCCATATGACTGCTTGTCATTCAGTTTTTTGTGCAGAAGAGAAACTCGTATCTTGTATTTTAGAAGAGGAGGCCGTTACATAACCTCCCCTACCTGAAGATGAGCCATCTGTGAAGACGGAGATGCCTCCTGCTATGGGGACTGAGTTTAGTTTTGAATGGAAGACAAAAGGTGTGAGGAAAGCAAATTGAATTAATTTATCTGAAGGATAATGACCACCAATAACACCAGGGAAGTTAGCCAATGCAGATTGCCCAGAAGATGAAAATTGCCATAACCATTTTTGTTGAATTGAAGAAAATGGAACAATGATAGTTTGCACTTCATGAGAAAAACACTGGATAGCACACGTTCTTTCACGTGCAGTCAGTTCTGCCACAGCATCCTGAAAGGGAGTAGTATTTTTATGTGGAGTATGTGGCATATGTAGCCATTGTAAACAACCCTGAGATTGCCACAGAACCCCTGTGGGCATAGACTGAGTTGGGAGAATAATTAAAACCATTGGCAGAGATGGGTCAACTCTAGAAAGCTGAGCGTTAGAAAGACCCAGATTAATTTTATCTAAGGCAGTTTTAAGCCTCTGGTGTAAGTATTCTTTGAGAAGTAGGGGCCGGGTCTCCCTTGAGAATGTCAAATAAAGGATTTAAATCATGAATAGTTAGCTTAAGATCTGGGCGGAGGCAATTAATATTACCAAGTAAAGCCTGGAAATCATTTAGTGTTGTAAGATGATGAACTTGGATCTGAACTGTTTGGGACACAATATGTCTCTGTGGGATAAGGCGACCCAAATATGACAAAGGTGCCATAGTTTGCACATTTTCAGGGGCTACCACTAAACCTGCATGGTGAAGAGCATCATCTAATTGGATAAACATTTGATGTAAGGTGGATGGGGATTCAGGAGCTAGAAGAATGTCATCCGTGTAATGGATAAGGTATGCAGAGGGATAGGCCTGTCCTACTGACAAAACGGCTACAGCCACAGACTCTTGGCACAGGGTTGGACTATTTGCCATTCTCTGTGGCAGACAACACCATTGGAAGTGGCACATAGGGGCCTGATTATTAATAGAGGGTAAACTAAAAGTAAAACGTTTTTCATCTTGAGGGTGGAGAGGAGCAGAAAAAAAATAATAAAAAACAGTCCTTTAAATCAATCACCATAAGAGAAAACTGTAAAGGAATAGCTACAGGATTGGGCAATCCTGGTTGTAGTGCTCCCATAGGTTCCACGGTGCAATTGACTGCCTGCAAGTCTTGGAGCAATCTCCATTTTCCTGACATTTTTTAACTACAAAAATCGGGGTATTCCATGGGGTACTAGAGTGCTCTAGGTGCCCTGCCATCATCTGCTCATTAATCAGTGTATGAGCTGCTATAATCTTCTCCTGAGTAAGGGGCCACTGATCAAACCAAATAGGATCATCAGACATCCAAGTTATCTTGGATGCCATCCATGGGGTCAGAGAAGAGATCAAGGCCCCTCCTGAAAATGTGAGGATGAGCACCCTATACCAAGGCGGTTCCTTGTAGGAGTAACTAGAAGAGGTTCTTTTCTTCCTTGACTGTTTTTACCAAGCCCTTGAGTGGGAATGAAACCTTGTTGCAACATCTGATGAGTCACCAGGGAGTTAGGACCAAACAAAAATGACCCCGTATCCTGTAACAGATCATGACCCCATAGATTGACTGGTGTACAGGGGAGGACATAAGGAAAGAAATAACTAGAATGGCCTTCTGCATCCCTCCATGTTAGCAATATAGTGCTTTTGCTAGGGCAAGAAACACTGCCCATCCCCTGTAGGTCTGTAGTGGCCTCATCCAGAGGTGGTGCTTTAGGCCAATGGTGTTGGGCAATAACTTAAACATTTGCCCCTGTGTCTAGAAACCCTTTAAATTTTTTTTCCTTCAAGAGTCAATTCCATCTCGGGGCAATTTCATTTAATTTGTTGAACCCAAGGGGTGTCAGAAGACCCAAAGCCCTTGGATCCCCTTTCCTTATTTATAAAATTTTCCAATTTTTGCCAAGGTAAGAATGCCTAATTGAGCAACACGAGAGTCTGCGGTGATTTGAACAGTATTTTCAGTGTATTGAACCATAATCTTGACTTCCCCTGTGTAATCAGCATCGATAACACCAGGTTTTGACCTATTAAAGTAAGACTGCTGTGGCCTAACACGAGCCCCACTGTACCCTGAGGCAAGGTGCATTGACTCCAGTAGGAATAGCTTGGGGCCTCATTTTTTGGAGTTAATATGAATCTGGAGGAGGGACCGAGGTCCAAGAATCCACTCAGGGAAGGGTGAGCTCCTAGCAGCGGCTCCATAGTCTTACTACTGGGAATGGGCTGTCCGCCACATTTTTCGCTCACCCCCAAAGGAAAGCCGGCAGGTGGGCTGCACGGCAGAGGAGCACAAGTTTTTCTTGGTGCGCCAGTTGTAGCTCTTGTCCTGGGCTCTCACTCTGGCCCCTGGATGTCTGTTTTTTTCCCTTATTTTGAGCGCAGGCACTGATTTGAGCCGGATAAATTTCAGGTGCTATACTCGGGCACAGCCTTGTCCAGGCCTGTGGTGCTGGTGGCGGGGAGAACCAAGGCGCACCAAGGTCATATCCCGTCCATTGGGTTCCTGGCGCACATGTTGGTAGCTGGCAGCCTGTGCCAGTGGCTGGAGCCGGACAGGCTGTAGGGACACACAGGTGACTGGCAGGTCCCAGCTGGGTCGGCCTAGAACCCCGGCCCGGGGCTCTCTCTGAACCTGCTTTGCGCCCCTCCCCCCAGCGGTGCTGCCTCCCCTGTCCCTCTTGGGCTCCGGACTTCACTTTAAAGTGTAGTTTCCAGCTGAATCCTTTGAGGTTTTAAAACCCCTTCTATCCACAATCCGAAAAAAGAAAAGTAAAGACAGGAACCATGAGAACAGCATAAATTTTTATATATATCTATAAACATCTGTGGTTTTCAAAACTGTTTGTTTCATTTTTAACTACTAGCAATTTAACATACTTTTCTCCTTTTTGCCTTCTCTTAAGCCTACTTTTTGGAACTATATTTTTTAAGGTCAGTAGACCTCCATGCCCTGCTCTTTACACCTGATAATTGTCAATACAGCATTCCAGCGCTATTGACCTACCAATCCATTCCCCCCACCCTGTTGTGCGCACAAATTCTGGGGAGTGTCCCCTCACCAACCACTCTCCTTACCCCGGGTTGCACGTTGGGCGCCAGTTGTGGGACTCGGTGGTCTCTCAGTGGTCCCGGAGAGAAAACGGCGAGAGGATTTAGAAAATAAAGAAAGGAGAAGATTGCCGGGGTCAGGTGGAGTTACCTCTTGCCTGATGAGCAAGAGGGCTGCCAAAAAGCAGTAGAGCATTTATTTATACCCTGGAGAGATTGGTTGATTTTTGTCTCGCTGCCCAGCAACCAGTTAACAAGTTACAATGGCTTGTTTACTCCGAGGGGCTTGTTTGCTCTGAGGCGCTCCCGTGTTCTCAGGCTGGCTTCATCATGCACGTGTAATTATTGTCCAGTTTAAGCGGCTCCCAACACCCAGCTCCTCAGAGAGTTAAAACAGGTGAGTTTATCAGGAAAGCCAGCATGAGGAGCTCCTCCAAAACAACCAACGGCTCCTTACAGCTTCTACCAGCTCCCCACAGCCCCTCGCAGCTCCCAACAGCCTAACTTCTTCTCCATTTTTGTCTCTTATGCTGTTTGCAACAGTCCTCAGGTGGGCCTCCCACACCCAGCACCACACTTACTCAGTTCAGTTGGGGGTTATAAGTTGACCACCAGTTATCAATCCCAATACACTGATGCTCACTCAGTGAATGATTGCTTTCTGTCACAAATTCATCCATCTTTTTGATTTCTGGAATTCTAATAGCAAAATAGTATCATTTAATTCTGATTTTGGTTTGTATTTCCCATGTGACAAATATGTTGAGCATTAGTTCACACAACATATATTCTATTTGTAAATCTACAAAGTTAATTGTTTTCTGTTTCATTACTTTCTTATTTCTGAATTTTTGTATTCTTGTAACGATAATACTTGTATTCTGAATACAAGTCCTGTATCGGGTGATCAGGTCTTTTGCTATTATGTCTGATATTTTGATTCAAATATCTAATACTAACTAACATAAATGTATTTTATATGTTTATCTTGTATCCTGCAGCCTTAGTCAATTTAGTTCCTGAACCATTTTTGTGGATTGCATATAATTACTTGTAAAAATTATTAATTTTTCAGCCAGTAATCTGGATTTATTTTTCAGATATAAATACTATTAATTTATATACTTATTTGCTTTGCTGTCTACACTAGAACCTCCAGTACAACTTCAATTTCTCCAGTTGAAAATAAGTGGAGAAAGTGACTTTATTCATACTCATTCATACTCATAATCCTGGATGGAAAGCAGTTAATGTTTCCTCATTAGATATATATTTGGATTTAGTAGTTTTTCTTTAATTTAATTTTCTTCTAGGAAACTGCTTTAGCTGTCTCTGTTGATATTATCCTATGAGTTTTCTTTTTTAGTTTAATTTGTGAATATATTTAAATTATACGGATTTATTTTCAAAGAATAGCATTTGTCCTGGTATAAACTCTACTTGGTCTTAAGGTATTATCTAAAAATCACAGGAATTTTTTTGCATCTAGAAATATTTCTCATACTATACATTTCCTTTCTTGAAATATCTTCATGTGATTTCCATATCAGAATAATGCAGATCTCAAAAAATAAATAGTATTAAATCCTTCCCCTTCAATATTTTTTCTGGAAAATATGAACACAACTGGCCATTTTGGTGAAATTCACCAGTTAAGCCATCTGAACCAAAATGTGTTTGCTTCTTTTTTAAAAAGCTTTTCAAATAAAATGACTTACAAATACAGGACTATTGAGGTGACTAGTTCTTTTCTTCAATAAGTCAAGGCAGTTGAAATGGTTGATATGCTACATCAACCTGAGAAGTTTAGAAGTTTAACTAAGTGACTCATTAGGGGGCCAGGGTCCTGGCTTTGTAAACATCCTCATCCTGTGCAAAAGAAGGGCACAGAGATGGTGTGAGTGCTGCACCCATTTTGGGAGTGGGTAGCCTGCTTACAATATGAAGGAGGAAAAGAGGCTTGTTCACTCATCTTTTTGCTCTTGTTGCTTTTGCTATCTTTGACTGATTTGAACTGCTGCCCCTCTGCCACGCCACCCTCCCTTGGAGTCAGTGATAATGGACTGAAACCTCTGCAGGCTGTGAGTTGCATACACCTTTCCTTCCTTAACTTCGTGTGTTGGACATTCTATATCAGCAATGAGAGAAAAGTAACCAAGACTGCAGTTTTTCTTCTTAAGTAATATTTCCATTTTATTAAATTTTTACATGTTATTGGATAAAGACTTTTAATATTACCTTATCACACATTGTAATATCTGTAAAATTATGTAGTGACATTTTTTCTCTATTTCTATTGTTGATAATGTGTATGTTTTTTCTTTGTTTCTTAGTTAGACCTGCTAGAGATTTATCAATATTACTTATCCTATCAAGAACCAGGCTTTAAATTTATTATCTTCCTTTCTGTGAGTACACTGTTGTTAATTTTATTACTTGTCACCATGATTTTATCAATTTATTCAAGTGGATATTTGTGTTAATTTGCTTCTTTGTTTGCACATAAGCTGAGGTCATTGATTTGATACTTCTTTTCACATAGGTGTTTAGTCCTTTAAATTTCACTTTAAAATTTGATTTACCTCAATAACACAAATTTTGTTATATTGTTTTTTCAATTTCATCCTGTTAAAAATAATGTTAACTCCTCTCCACAGTCTTCTTTGATTCATGTATTATGAAGACTATTATTGAAGTTTTAAATATTTGGAGATTTCTCACAGATCTGTTGTTGATACCTAATTTAAATATCATAGGATTAGAGAACTTTAGGAGGACTTAATGTTGAAAATCTACTGAGATTAAAAAAAAAAAGAAAATCTACTGAGATTAATTTTATGGCTCTAAATATGATCTACTTTGGTATTTAAAGTGATATGTATTTTGTTGTTGGATACAATGTTCTATAATATCCACCAAGATAAGTAGGTGTATACTGTTATTCAAGTCTAATATATTCTTGCATAGGACATTTTATTTTTCTCATAGTGTTTTGGAAAGGATATTAATGTCTCAGACTTCGTTTGAAACTTTATTTATCATTGGTATTATATCAATATTTTCTTCATAATCTTGAAGTTCTGTTATTTGATTCATAAACATGGTATCTTTATGTCTGCACATGAAACTACTTTCTTGTTGCTCTGGAATAGTCTTCAGTGTGCATTGTCTGCTACCCTTGTAGGCACCCAACAAGTTTTGATGTGAGTTAGCATGGTATATACTTTTGTCCCTTTAATTTTCACCTATTTACGTTTTCATATTTGAATTAAGTATATAGA